GACCGCCTGATTATTACGGTGAAAACAAAAAGTAGACTCTTCCCCCTCCTGCTGCATCCACAGCTCAACACTGTCCATTCAAACTGTTTTTCAGATGCGAATGAATGTGAGGGCAAACCTTGTGTCAATGCCAACTCCTGCAGGAATCTGATTGGTAGCTACTATTGCGACTGCATTGATGGCTGGTCTGGCCAGAATTGTGATATAAGTAAGCATCTCTGTGCATTCTGTACCTAAAGGGGAAATGTTGCTATACAATCCACTGAGTCCTGAGCTGTGCTTTAAATGGTGAGCCAGCCAGCAGCAGTTGGTGGTGTTTTAAGAAAGGGAGTAGTTGGTCTGGAATGAGAATACACAGTTTTATCAAAGTCATTAGTCCTTAGCATGGCTATATTCTGATAAGCTGACCTAAACAATGATGTGAAGTTTCACTAGCTCCACTGGAAGAATTGCTGAATGTTCCCACCCATTATAATAACCTTATCTTGAGGAAGGCATGCAGGAAACTTGACAAAAGGTTTATCTAGCTGGACTTTGAGAGACACTAGCTCATTTGTAGCTCATATAAATGCTTTATTTGCCTCCTAAAAGTGTGCTAATTTTTATTGCAGATATTAATGATTGTCTTGGACAGTGCCAGAATGGAGGATCCTGTCGAGTAAGTCAGCCTGATTTTTAATTGGTTGTTAATGCAGGTGTTGAAATCAAGATGCTTTAGTCTGCATGGGCCAAGTATACAACAGGTGTAAAATAGCATGCAGAGTCAAGGGAGTCTTGTCATTTAACAGCAGCTGAGGTTCTGGCTCTTTTGAGGAGGGAAGAAAGGGGGGAGTGGGTAGCGCATACTTTTTTGCAGCAAATGACTCATCTTCTCCACTACTGCCACCAGTGAACTATTGGCTGGCCTTGTTTATTGTAAAGCTCATCTAACTGTATGTGAACAGTAAACCTGTTTGCTCCAGTTTTAAATCTGGCTTAACATATCCCACTGAGAAATTTAAGAATGTAAACAAATACCTTTTTTCCTAAATACTCTTGCCTGGTTTAACTTCAGCTGAAGTTTCTTATGACAGCTTTCGGCCTATTAAAGGTGATAAGTTTTTGGAGCTTAAAAAAAATTCTACTATTTTAATTTTAAATGCTGTCTTGTTCATTCCTAGGATTTGGTTAATGGCTACCGATGTCTCTGTTCACCTGGTTATGCAGGAGATCACTGTGAGAGAGACATTAATGAATGTGCAAGCAACCCTTGCTTGAATGGTGGCCACTGTCAGGATGAGATCAATGGATTTCAGTGTCTGTGTCCTGCTGGTTTCTCGGGAAACCTCTGTCAGGTGAGCGTGGGTGAAAGGCATGTCCCAGATAACGGAGTTCCCACAAGCACTTTTTGATTCTGTATGCTGAATACCTCATGTCCAGTGACCCGTATGACAGGCATACTTTCTATATAGCTGCTTGCCAAGGAAGTGCTTGTGAAAAATCTTGTGGTGGCTGAAAACTCGTTTAAACAGCTCGCAAGTGTTTGCGTGTAAAGTTTTGTTGCATGCTGACTATTAACCTTCAGTGGCTGTTTAATATCAGAATGCTGTCTGCCAAAGCTACTGGAAGTATAACTGTACTCTCTGCATTGTGTACAATTAATAGAGGCAGCAGATAAAAAGGTCAGATTCCACAGTGTCTGCAGCCTGTAGCAGTGAGAAGAGCAATAATAAAACCTCTGTTTCACTCAGCTTCCCCCCTTCTCCCCCTGTCATTTATAGTTGGACATAGATTATTGTGAGCCTAACCCTTGCCAGAATGGCGCCCAGTGCTTCAATCTTGCCACAGACTACTACTGTAACTGCCCCGAAGATTATGAGGGAAAGAATTGCTCCCACCTGAAAGACCACTGCCGCACTACTCCTTGTGAAGGTACGTGTTACTCTCAAATGACAGCTGCGTCAATAATGCTTTTGACTCATTTCCCAGGATAAGGCTTGGTGGGGCCAGTTCAGCCTTGAGGTCAAAATCTGAATGCTGCATTTGTGTTATGCAGCTGAGTTTGGCCCTGTTTTACCCCAATACACATGAGAAAAATGTTCTGTTCGTGATTATGGTTATCTAAGAGATGCTTCATGCCTGCTTCTCAATCATAGTTGCATGCACCTTAGATCAGACCCGGCAGCCTCCAAACTCTCTTGTGGCTCAGAAGATTAAATGGAAATTAGTTGCAAATATTTACTCTAATGTAACAAGTGCAGTTAGTCACCTTACAATCTCAATGTAGGTAATTACCATGAGACCTAGGTACTTGCAGGTTGCAAGAAGCCAGCCTGCTTGGTAATGTGATGAAGTGGGCAGTCCTCAGCTCTGTCTCTCTCCTTCTGCAGTCATTGACAGTTGTACAGTGGCAGTGGCTTCTAACAACACACCAGAAGGGGTTCGCTATATTTCTTCAAATGTCTGCGGTCCCCATGGGAAGTGCAAGAGCCAAGCAGGGGGAAAATTCACTTGCGAGTGCAATAAAGGCTTTACTGGCACCTACTGCCATGAAAGTAAGAACTTACGATGTTTATCTTTTTGGTTCTGACCTCAAGTTTGCTATTAGAAAATGACATGTCCCTTCCTCTGAGACCGTATAAGGCTTTCCTGTGACAGTGGACCTTGGAACTCTACTTTAGGGTCCTTCTTGGGCACGGCATATTGGAGTTCCCAAGACCCGGGGGGGAGGGGCGGGGGGGGTGTTAGTATAACAAACCAGCTGTCCTTGAATTGTATGATTTTCAAACCTTGTGTATTCAAGAGCGTAGGTGTTTTTAATGGTTGGTTTTTACCCTAGGTTTTATGGGCTCTTTAAAAGCTCTGTTACAAAGAATATACTGTTACGAAAGCAATTGCTGGCTGTTTCACCTTTATCTTGTGTCTATTGTGTCCACGCTTTTGTCAGTGTATAGAAATGGAGTTTGTCTTCTGACAGCAAAGCAAGTTATATAAGAAGGCTTGCTAACTGTACTGAGGCAGATTTTCTTCAATCTGTTGCAGATATTAATGACTGCGAAAGCAACCCCTGTAAAAATGGTGGCACCTGCATTGATGGTATCAACTCCTACAAATGCATCTGTAGCGATGGATGGGAAGGAAATTACTGTGAAACAAGTAAGTTAACCTTCTTGAAACTGAAGACAAGGTATTGTGGAGCAGTGTCTGAAAGCAAAGCCTGGACATACAGGGCTGTGTCATGTTCTACCCATGAGGTGTCTAAGTGGCACCCGGATGCCTTTGCCTAAGTGAATCTGTTCTACCCTGTTTGCTGCAAAACTACTAATGCAGAAGGTGGATGGTTCTTCCTCCTTCTCACAGCCTTGAGAATATCACAAAAAAGCCTAGATGAAGGGATATTACAAAACGAGATGCATTTTTAATTTTTCTTCAGGAATTCGAGCAGGGTTGAAATTGGCATCTAAAGTCTAAGCAAGATCTCAAGTTCTACTTGGAGGATTAAGTGGAATAGGATCTGCCTATATTGTGCTGTCTTAGTCATGATATGTACTCTTTATCTGATCTTGAGATTCAAAGCCCAGTGAGGTTGGTGTTATCTTTCCATTGAGTTTGATGGACTTTGAATCCGAGCAAGTGCTTTAAGAACCTTACAGCTTTGCTATGTCTGGAAGATGAAGAGGAACTCTTTATGAATTGGGTAGGACTGAGAAACTAGCAAATAACTGCAGTTATTAGGAGAGTTGACAATAGAATTTGCTGCCCAGTCTTGCACCATTAATACTAGACAACTCACCATAGGAAAAAGTTAATACAAGTAAACCCTCTATTCTTAAAAAATAACACATGCCCTTCTGTCTGCTGTGACAGGTAAAATGGGGGGAAGAGTTCCTAACTGCTAGCTTTTTACTCGCTGTTCAGTAAAATCCATGTCATAATCAGCAATTAGGATGTTAGGCCTTTCCCCTTTTTCATTTCACTAGCTCTTATCTTTGGGAACTGGAGTGATGTTTGCCCTGAATGAAATGAAAATGAGCTGGGGGGCAGGGGACGCTGTTACTGAATATACATGACGTCTGTGGTAGCAGTTAAAATATTCAAGCACTTAATCCAGAACTGAGACTTGAGGCCAAAATCGGGGATCTGGCACTGCTTCCATCAAGCATTAAGTAGTTTATAGTGGCTGCAAGCATTCCTTAAGTCTCACTTTCCCTCCTTTTATACTTCCAGATATTAATGACTGCAGTAAAAACCCTTGCCACAATGGAGGGACTTGCCGGGACTTGGTTAATGACTTTTTCTGTGAATGTAAAAATGGGTGGAAAGGAAAGACTTGCCACTCGCGTAAGTTGCAGTTCTTGTATGTTTAAAGTAATGTTAAGTGTGCTGCGTTGTGTTGTGTTAGTGGAGCAGTGAAACTGAGGCTGGTTTGCTCTTCCTAGGTGATAGCCAGTGTGATGAGGCTACATGCAATAATGGAGGAACATGTTATGATGAGGGAGACACTTTCAAGTGCATGTGTCCTGCAGGATGGGAAGGAGCCACTTGTAATATAGGTAACCAGGACTTGTAGTATCTAGGGGTAGATGCATCCCTGAATCTGTAACCTTGGCATCCCCCTTTGCCTGATTTTAGTTTGGCTTAAAGGAAAAATAACTTACCTCTACCTTCTTGTGTTCTGTTATAGCAAGAAACAGCAGTTGCCTGCCAAGCCCCTGCCATAATGGTGGTACCTGTGTAGTCAGTGGGGATTCCTTTACTTGTGTCTGCAAAGAAGGCTGGGAAGGACCAACTTGCACTCAGAGTAAGTCTCTCTGCTTGAACTTTTCTAAAGTGTTGCCTGACAAGAACATTAGCTCATCCTGTTGCCCTCTGAGTGTCAAGATTGAAACCAGAAGGGGAGAACTGTTTGATGTAGGCTTTAGCATCACCTGAATCTTTGCTTTTAATGACATTATACGATAGAGCCTTGACCTGGGCATGAGAAAGTTGCAAGTGAGTTAAGTGGAGACAGATGTTGTCTTGTTTTCTCCTGCATTCTTCTTCTACCAGCAGCCCTGTCTGCTTCCATTCACTTCTTCCTTTTTATATTCTTTACAAGGATCTCTTCCTGTGTACATGTGTTCCACAGTGCAGTTAACAAATTTTGTGGTGGAAGCCTGGAATCAATTTAACTGAGCATTTTGGCATATTTTTGCAAAAGTTTAAGTCAAATGTAGCTCAAGCATTGTAGGAATTTAGTCGTTCTTTACTGATGACAACACTTACTCCAGCCCTGGTTCGTATGTTAATGGATGTCTGTCTTGCTTTCTGCAGATACAAATGATTGCAGTCCTCATCCTTGGTAAGTGTTGTGACTTGGATATGTTACTCATCCTTTGCCTTTGGCATCTTTTTGCATTAGAACTGTTCACTTGTCTTTTTTCACCAAACAGTGAAACCTACTATGGCTAAGTGATGCCTCTTTTTCCTGTCCTTTTTAGTTATAATAGTGGGACTTGTGTGGATGGAGATAACTGGTACCGCTGTGAATGTGCTCCAGGCTTTGCAGGCCCAGACTGTCGGATAAGTAAGTATTACCATGTGACTCCAACTTGATCCTGACCTAATAATTATTTAAATATGTGCTGCCACAAAATACCAGAGTTTTTGAATCTGGTATGCAAATCTGTCCAGCCCTATTATTTGTCCATATCTAGCATGCCTGATTTATAGCTGGCTGAAAAAATGCTCAGTGAAAATGTAGAGAAAGTATCAGATGCACTTTAGCCTAAAAAAGTCTGAGCCCAGCTGGGAGGAGTATGGTGTTAGTCCTCCCCTGTTAGGAGATGGTCTGTGGCAGACTTTCTGTTTGAGAGCGAAGGACGCTAGTTAAAATCCCTGTCAACTAATAATAACCTGCCTCCAGGCACTGATTTGGTTCCTGTTTTCTCTGTAATGTAATAATAGTTATAGGTAGGAAGATACCAACATTTTAATAACACAGCTATGAAAATAGAATTGTTCCTAGCCATAGTGTAATTGGAAGGGGTTTAATGTCCATATATTAAATATAACTGTGTTGACTAATCTGGACCGTGCCAGAGGAAGGTGAGCATATCTATCTAGCAAAGAATGTGTCCTTGTCCCTGAAGGGCTTTTTAAGTAGTCAGACCATGGTCAAGTTATGATCTGGATTTACAGCACTGTAAACCTGGGCTAATTGCAGTGACTTCAAACAAATTTACTCCAGAATTGCAGTGGTGTAACAGAAATCAGAATCCAGCTATGAAAAGAGAATATAAGGCTACAGCTGTCTTGTGTGTACTCTCACACTCACCTGAATGGATAGCTGTATAATGGGTGCAACTTCCCCCCCCTTCTTTATCACAGATATCAATGAATGCCAGTCTTCACCCTGTGCTTTTGGAGCTACATGCATTGATGAAATTAACGGCTACCGCTGCATCTGTCCACCTGGTCGTAGTGGCCCAAGATGCCAAGAAGGTATTCCAAGCAGCCTACAGTATATGTTTCCAGATTCAGTTCATTTACATGCTAGCAACTGTAATAAGAGCATACATAGTAAAGGAATGGAAAAGTTCTTGCACTCAACTAGATTTTATGAAATGGAAAGGGATAGGAAAATGTGGTAGGGCAGGCTTCTTAGAGTAGAGCAAACTGTTTAAGAATCCATCTCCCTTTCTCACAGTTACAGGAAGGCCTTGTATTACCAACGGGCGTGTGACAGCAGACGGTACTAAATGGGACGACAACTGTAATACCTGTCAGTGTTTGAATGGAAAGGTCACGTGCTCTAAGGTAGTCTTGCTGTACTTTGAGTTGCATTTGTTTTCTCCTGTACACCCGTGACTGTACTCTCATAAAATACTCGCTCTCTTCCAGGTTTGGTGTGGGCCTACACCTTGTCTAATCCATGCTAAAGGTCATGAGTGCCCAGCTGGACACACCTGTAATCCTATTAAGGATGACCACTGCTTTACACATCCCTGTGCTGCAATGGGTGAATGCTGGCTTTCAAATCAGCCACCAGTGAAGTCCAAATGTAATTCAGACTCTTATTACCAGGACAACTGTGCCAACATTACATTTACCTTCAATAAAGAGATGATGTTGCCGGTGGGTAACTTGAAATAAAAAAGCTCCTATAACAAAAAGTAGACTGGCATTGCATGAAACAAGTGATCTGACAATCATCTTCCTCAAATTCAGTAATAGGAGATTAATCTCATTTTTTAATTAAAACATGCAGTCTAAAGACCTGTGTACTCTCTGCTGGGCTTTATCTCAGTAGTGGGAGAGCAACCAAGAGCTTGTTGTACAGTGCTCTGTTTAAGGAATAAGTCTATCTTAAATTGTAACTCATAAGACTCTCTTTTTTTTTTTGTATTGCTAGGGTCTTACCACTGAGCATATTTGCAGTGAACTGAGAAAGCTTAACATTTTGAAGAATGTTTCTGTTGAATATTCCATCTACATCACCTGTGAGCCTTCACGCTTGGCAAACAATGAAATACACGTTGCGATAGTAAGTAGTCACCTTTAAACACTTGTTAAATTGCTATATATGTAATGGGGATGCACTGAGAATTAATTTTAAGCTTTGTCAGCACTTGGCAAGGTTTATAATTTCCATTCCAGTTCCTTTGAATGGGAGAGGGGTATCAATGTTTGGTCTACAACATGCTTGAAAATTAACATCGGGTTGCAACTGTGATTAGTTAAAGTAGCAAAACCGGTTTCCATTTATAACACCACAAGCACTTGTTAGTGTCTTCTAAAATGATATGGGCTGAAACTTCTCATGCTTGGCCTGCCTCTACCAGTAACAGGAGTTTTAGCTGGAAAATTCTGGGAAGTGCTCTGCTTCATGGTTACAAAAGTGTGGTTTTTATAGTGGTTATTAATGCCACTTAACTATCATACAGTTAACTGTACTCCTTCCCTTATAGTCAGCTGAAGATATTCGGGAGAATGAAAACCCAATCAAGGAAATCACTGATAAAATTATCGACCTTGTCAGTAAACGTGATGGAAACAACACGCTAATTGCTGCAGTTGCAGAAGTCAGAGTACAAAGGCGACCAACTAAAAACAAGACGGGTATGATGGTTTGGGGTTTGTTTGGGGGTTTTTTTTTGGGGGGGGGGGGGGTTGGTTCGGTTTTTGTCTCATATTGAGGCTTCATCTCTGGTCAGGTTAGAAGGCTTATCTTCATGTTGTAGCTTGGTGGGGGAAAGGAGGGAGGGATTGTGCCAGGCTGTTGGAAAGGAGACCTTTTACTTGCTTCCCTTTCTCCTCCCTGCCACATGGATTGCACCATAAGAAAAAGGAATAAAAATACCAAGATGAAGCATTTCCTGGCTTCTGAAAGTGATAACTCCCAATTACTATCTGATGGCTGCTAGTACCCTGATTTAACTGAACTAAATGTTCTGTCTCAAGATCATAGTGGATGTATTTGCCACATAACACCCTCCAATAATTAACATTTTTGTTGACAGTCTCTGAGAGATCAAGGATTTTGCTGGATTTGGAGCCAGTTACCCTCGGGTGAAGAACTATTCCCTCTAGGCCAGGGTCTTTGGCAGGGTAGTGTAGAAAAGTTTGCATTACCACTGACTGCAAGCTGTTGGTTTTGTGGAGAAAAGGAAGACTTCCCTAGCCTCTAGTGCTGTTGGCATAGTCTTGTGCTAGCTCCACTTGGAATATTTTTTAATCTTTAAGAGACAAGAATATTCCCTTAAGAACAGCGTGAGAAGGCAGCTTAGAAATTGAGGGTGGCTGTTGTTGTTTGTTTGGTAGTCTGCTTTAACTAAAGGACTTCATTTGCAAGGTTAATTGGTCTCATATCTGTCTTTCAGATTTCTTGGTGCCATTGCTGAGCTCCGTCTTAACAGTAGCCTGGATCTGTTGCTTGGTAACAGCCTTTTATTGGTGCATTCGAAAACGCAGAAAGCAGAGCAGCCACACTCACACGGCATCAGATGACAACACCACAAACAACGTGAGGGAGCAGCTGAATCAGATAAAAAACCCCATTGAGAAACACGGAGCCAATGCTGTCCCTATCAAAGACTACGAAAACAAAAACTCTAAAATTGCCAAAATAAGGACACACAATTCAGAGGTAGAGGAAGACGACATGGACAAGCATCAACAGAAGGCCCGATTTGCCAAACAGCCAGCATACACACTGGTAGACAGAGATGAAAAGCCACCCAACAGTACGCCTACGAAACACCCAAACTGGACAAATAAACAAGACAACAGAGACTTGGAAAGTGCACAAAGTTTAAATCGAATGGAATACATTGTATAGCAGTCGGTGAGGTGCTGCCATGCAGGGCCTTTGAATATCATTATAAAGGCACTCTGAGCTTTTAGTTCTTTAAACTGTTGTGTAATATTTGAGTCTAAGGCTATTATTTACTTAGAATCCCTGTGTTAATTTAAGTTTTGACAAGCTGGCTTACACTGGCAATGATAGTTGCTGTGGTTGGCTGGGAATACCAAGTGCTGCATTTCACATCTATGCAAAACTAGTCAAAAGTGCCCTAATGGTAAATTCAGCTGTAGCTGATACATCACGGAAATGTTTCATAAGGTATTGCATAGCCTTATTAGCTCTTCTTTAGCATTTACCTTTTTTTTTGGTCAGATGTCCCAATTTATACAGTTTCGTAGAATAATACATTTTATTTATATTTATTGACGCTGAGTTTTTTGTATATTGGTTTTATGGTGACGTACAACTAGTTCTGTATTTGAAAGTGCCTTTGCAGCTCAGAACCACAGCAACTATCAAGAAAGTTTATTATTTATTTTTTTTATTGTATTTTTGTTGGGGGTGGGAGGGGGGGAACTCAATGTCAGCAGTTGCTGGTAAATGAAGAATTTAAAGAGGAAAATGTGTCAAAAATAGAAGTTTGTATAGATATGTAAATAATTCTTTTTTTATTAATCGCTGTGTATATTTGATTTATTAACTTAATAATCAAGAGCCTTAAATATCATTCCTTTTTATTTATATGTATGTGTTTAGAGTTGAAGGTTTTTGATAGCGTTGTAAGCTTGTGGCTTCTTTATTTTGAATTTATTTTCTTGTTACATGTTGCCTATATGCCAAAATTAAGGTGTTCTAAAAATAGTTTATTTTTAACAATAGGACGGGCTCTCATGCCTTGATGCTGGTTTTTGTACAAATGTCAAACGTTTGAAACACCTTCCATAGTATCACTTTAAGACTATTTGTAAGTACTGACTGAGGCAGTTTTAGATAATTAGACTAGAACTTTTTTTTTTTGTTTTTTTTTTGTTTTTTTTTGTTTTTGCTGCTTTAGACTTGAAAGAGTGACAGGCAGATAATCTGCTACAAAGCAGTTTAAGGGAACAAAACGGAGCTATGACTTTATGTAGATGAAACGTGAGTGGTTGCATGTAATTAAGATATCAAATTAGCGTGTGAAGTTGGAAGCACAGAAATCTTATTTTGTAAATTCTGATTTTTTTTTTTTTCACCATGAATATGTAATACTGAACCACTTGTAGATTTGATTTTTTTTTTTGTAATCTACTGCATTTAGGGAGTATTCTAATAAGCTAGTTGTTGAATACTTGAACAGTAGAATGTCCAGTAAGATCACTGTGTAGATTTGCCATAGATTACACTGCCCGCCATAACAAGTGAGGAAATCAAAGTGCTATTACAACATTAAAGATCAAAAAAGGCTTATAAACATAGTAATCTCATTGGTTAACCAATGAGATCATGAAAGATACCTTGTATTGTGATATTAGTGTTATATGAAAATGCATCTTTGATGTGTTGTTCCTGGCAATAAATCTTGAAAAGTAATATTTATTAAATTTTTTGTATGAAAACACAAAACAGCGTGGCTGTTATTGAGCTTTGAGGCACTTTTAGCTAGCTGCATGCCCAAAAGTAAGAGTAGCTAAGGTGTGACAGATTGTTGGGATCAGCAAGGTTGAGCTGTGTATTCAGGGCCTGATTCAAATACTGCTAAAGACCATGGAAGGGCTCCCAGTGAATTTTGTAAACCTTTAAGTTGGGCACATGCTGACAAGGAATATTGTGTTAAAATGACTTCTGCAAAGTAGGTATCATTGAAGGCTTCCACACTTGTCAGCTTTGGGAGCTATGCTCCTTATCTCTGGTTTCTCCATGTCATCAAAGGAGGACTGAGTACAAGTGATGCTGGATTGTGGGGAAGTCTTAACCTAACTTCAGTGTTATGCTTTGTTTTAACTTTCCTTTGGAAATGGTAAGTGGTCCAAGTTGAATGCATGTTTTTTTTTTATATGTAACTTGTTGCAGCATCAGGGATGCTGATCTTTTAAAGCTGCTTTTTTGTCCCTACTATTGCTTCATACTGAACTGACTCTACTATTGATTACAAAAAATGGAATTACTCCACCATACTCCCTGGAACAACTTGAATTTTAGGCTAGTATAAGATTCAGTGCCTGTGACCAGTTACAGAAATTTGTCACGCTATGAACATTGTATTGTTACCCTGTATATTGTATGGTGGTTGACACCAGTGCACAGAACATGTAAAATGCTGCCATTCTGAATTTGGTAGTGGGCTGACTATAAAACAGCAGCACACTGTTCAGGGTAATGGAGAAACAGATCTATTGTTCTTGTAATGCTGCCTTCTAAAGAAGACAACTCCTTGTATAGAGTAAGGGATAATGCAACATGAGAACTGCATAATATGTAAGCTTATGCACAGAATTAAACAGAGAGAGATTACCAACACCTTTCCCCATGCTTCTTTAAACAGCACTTAGATCTGTTGAATGATACTGGCAGAATACAGAACTCCTATTTTCTAATTCTGAATTAATTTCAACTTCAGTTCACCAAGAAGGGTTTCTAGCCTGTTGCTATATGATACCTTGAAAGGTGCTACTCTGCTGTTCACTGTCACATGCCATATAACTAATTGCAGCACCCCAGAATTGTCAAGCTACTGCTTGTCAAGTTAATTTCTGTAGCAATTTTTTTTTACTACACTTCCCCAATGTTGGTAGTGGTAAGTTGCTAACAGGTTTTAGTAAATGACATGTAACACAACACATTCTCTTAATAGGTCACGTCCTACTTCATTGACTTTGACAAACAGATGTCTGTTTTCTTTTTTTAAATATTTTTAAAAAATGCTCAGCACAAAAAGTCATGCTGTAGCTTCTATTAGTCTGAACACCTTGGATGAATTGTGCTGTCTCATGTTACTAGAGTTCTGGAACCTAATGTGACCCAGTACACTTCCTTCATAATCAGGCACAAACACACACTCCCTTAGTTACAATTAAGCATTAACAACCATTTGCATTAAGGTTTGGCCTTTTTTCTTGGTCTCCAGTAGTATGCATTTGATAGACACCACTAGCTATAGGTTAAAACACACTCTAACTAGACCCAAATAGTCCTTTTACTTATGCATAAGCTATTTTGAGTTTTGGGCTGAGTACAATCTAAAGTTTCCTTAAACTTCATAAAGTCGTCTTAATTTTTGTCAGCGAGGCACTTCAGACTTCTCATAAGAAACCTAATGCAGAACGAAGTACTGCAATGCTATATGCAGTTTCTATAAAAGGGAGCAGGGGTATTTATCCAAATCATTTCTTCTCTATTAGTCTCCCCATTTTTCACAGACCCAATGTAACATGGGGCTTTATACATGCATAAGGATCCCATACTGAATCTATCTGAGAGCAGCAGATGCTCCCTATTCTGCACAGGTAATCAAATGTGAGGCTGCCATGGTGAAATCTGGCACTAAACTTCTAGTGATTTAATGGCAGTGGCAAGATAAACACAGATGTGTTCAAAACAACAACAAAGAAAAGCCCTCAGAAAACCAGAACAGCAATTGCTCTTAGGAGTTGGTACAGCTTGTTTTTTTCCCCCACCCCCACCCTAATTATTGCAAAAATAAATAGACAGAAGCTTAAAGCTTCCACATTGCAGAACTAAGGCACATTTATTTATTTTTGTGGATGTTATACTCCACCAGTTCATGGTTTACTAGTCTGGGAAGATATGTAAAGCTTGCGCAGGAGAAGCCTCCTGCTGCTGCTGTGTGTTTATACTTTGGATACTTATTCTTCTAAGATCTGGAACAAGTCTGCTTCCTGAGTTACTTTTCTAAATACATAAACTTTACCAAAAAAAAAAAAAATCTCTTTTGGCTACCTCTCAGCTACAACCAGATGTATGTAACCAAGACTGGTTTTGTTCAAGATACAGCGACTTTCTGATATAATTTAATAGGGGGGAAAGGCTGATCTTACTTGTAAAAACTATCGAGCGTGTAGACTGCATCACCTTTGATTCCAGAATGTTTTTGTGAGGGGAAGGATACTTTTCTGAGCAATTATTTCCACATTGTTGATATGAGCAAATGGCAGCTGGTGCTTGCAAATTTGGAGCAATATCATTGCCTAGCAACTGAGGTGCATAAACAGACTAAATATCAGACTGGAGGCCCTCAAATGACTCTCTGAGGGTGAAGCTAACCTTCCTTTTAAGTAGATATTGTATCAGCATTGCTCACTCTTGCACATGCTGAAACACCTGCATCGCACAAGCTAGTATAAATAAACCGGGAACTTGTCAAGCCAGAGAAATGAGAGGGGAGCTCTGCATGCTGCCCCTCTTGAGGCTTGTCACTCATCCTCTAATCAAGCCCATCAGAAGTCACTTTCTGTACCAAAGCTGGCAGAGACCTGCTCCATTTCTACAACAAACTGGTAGCAGGAGCCAGCCACTGTAGCACCTTTGGTAAGGTGCCCTCCACATCCAGCTCTTCAGTGCAGCCCATCTCCACTACCCTCTGCTTTGACAGCCAACAGTCCACAATAGCATGAGTGGGTGGTAGAGCGTCCTTGTTGGAGCACTAGTGCCTGGTCTTCAGCAGACTGACTTCTCCAGTCATTGCAGGCTCCAGGGAAACTGGTACCTGTTCCTTCTCCTACCTGCCCTCCTATACAGAGCTCTTGCATGCCCTTGCCCATCTTGAGAATCCACTAGTCAAGGACTTAGGAGCCTAAAGCTTATAGATAGGAATGAGATCCCAGCCTGTCTCATTACCCATGAAGAACTGGAACTAGCCATATTCATTCCTTCCCCTTAATGGGGAAAACTGCAGCACAGTATTTCCATTGAGTGGTTTCCCCAGTTCACTGACAAACACCTTCACCAATTATACATTACCACCCCACCTACAGCTTATGCTAAATGAGGTGATGAACAAAACTATGTTGCAAAGGAGCAATGCTTTAAAATGAAATGTTATGTGCTTTGAGTTTTCCTTAGTAGTTCCCATTTCCTTGAAAACAACACAATGGGGCTGTGACCTGGCAGAGGTCACCCAGGTACGCAAGTAAAGCTGCATAACTCAGAAGGTTTAATCCAGAACTTGGCCAGCAGCAGCATAGTCACCTGGATAACCTGCGAGTCAGACCTGAGTTCTCTCTCAGCATTTACCTGAGGTCAGAGTGAACACCTCTGACCTCAGGCAAATTGGTTCAGCCCTGTATGCAGTGGAGAAACCAATCCTTTTCCTCTTCAAAGTGCTTTGTGATGCGATTAGGGAAAGCACTTCCATCTGTAGGGCAAGTAAATTGACTCTGATCTTGATCCAAGATGCTGTTTCCCTTAAAGATCTGAAGGAAAGGCTCAAAAGACAGTTGCTTAAAGGAAGCTGTCAAGTTTCTGTTGGGCCTCAGTGTAGCTATGCAGTCAGATTTTCATCCGTGTCTCAGTTACCTTGTGCTATCTAAGCAATGCAAAAGGGCATCAGCATCTAGCTGCCTGGGGGAAGCAAATGAATATTCTCCAGCAGTGACAGCTAGAAATTCCAACTCTTCTGGTGACCACCCCCGAACCATGGGATAAGGGTCATGGCAGGGAGATGAGAGAGCAGGCTATGGTCCATAGTGAACAGCAGTGTGTGAACCATCTTTGGGAAGGGGCCAGTCTCGTAAGATGCTGATGAGCTGAGTGCTTGTAGCACTTTGGAAGATGAACCCATGTTGAACAAGAAAAGGCAGGCAAACACTGTGTAAAAATCATCTGATTGCTGTCATGGAAGGGAAAAGTGAGCCAAGAAAACTCTGCTCACCATGACCACGTCCACACATGGTGTGGATGTTTGGTTCCTCAGGGTCAACTAGCAGCGGCACACCTTGTGCTATCACTAGGTGTCCCTGGGGAATGCCAGTGCCAGGAGTGCTCTGGTGCACAGCAAGTTTCCCCAGGTGGGGTAGGGGAGGCTGAGACCAGCACTGGGCTGGCCCCAGCAGCCTTACCTGGGGTCCTGGGGGCCTCCCAAGGAGATTCTACCACACAGAGCCCAGTCAGCAGCTGGAAAATGGCTCTGGGCAGTCTGGCTCTGCTTTTGAACTGTGTATGCTGCCCTCCGTGCACTGCTCAGCTTTTCTTCCCTGTGGATTTTTTTTTGCCCCCTGGATACCCAGGGCACAAAAAAACCCCTCCACGCTGCTCCCTTGCAGCACAGAAAACAACTGAACATGTGGTATGTGGCACCGCAGATGGGTCTGTGGTGCCACATACTGCATGGCCGCACTCATCTGGACATGGCCCATGAGCCTCACTTTAATTAAAAGAAAAAGCCTGA